CCGCACACAAGCCAGGCTCTCTTCCTCCCACACCCGAAGGACGGCAGGTCGCCTACCTGGTTCTGATTGTCCACGACCACCAGGTGGCGCAAGCCCAAGGCTCGGAAGAGCTTGAACACCCTCGGGAGAGAGGCCTCCTGCAACCCGAACCCGGGGCTGGTCAGACGGAGGCGCACATACGCGGGACAAAGGCGCCGGTGACAGTGGCCCGGGGGCCCTCCCCTCGCCCTGCTCGCCAGGGAGCCTGCCCTGCTCCCCCTCCGACTGGGGGACGAGTCCAACCCAACCCATCTCGCCAGCAGGCACGACCACCCAAGCCTCGGGCCGAGCCCGGTGGATCAGCTCACCCGAGCCTGCCGTTCCTGCAGCCAGCCAAAGCAAGGTGACCCCGAAGCGAGATGCCCGCTCCCAGCTCAGGAGCATTGGGCTCCCCCCGCTAAGCCTGGCCACCCCCTGCAAACGGGAGCCACCCGACGCGCCCCGACCCACTTCACCTGCGGCACGGTGTACGGCGAGGGATTCATGAACTCCGTCAGGTCCATCATGCACTCGCGCTCGTCCTGGGAGACGTGGATTGACTGAATGGGGGGGAAGCGGGGGTAGGCGTCCCGGAAGTCCTTCAGCTTCAGCCGCCGCTGCCGAAGAGACAAGCTGGCACGCTCCACAAAGACCTGCATGGAGACGGGAAGCATCACGGGGGGGAGCGCCACAAAAGGCCGAGGCAGGAAAGAACCGACTGGGTACCCCTCCCACTAAGAGCCCCCAAGCACCACTTGAAAGCGTGACTCTGGGACGCTGGCTGGAGAGCTGGCAACTGCGGGCACCGTTCTCTGCCAGTGTCTGCGCTTCCCACACCCCAGCCCAGGCCCCCTTTATCAGACAGCCCCCTCCCTGCCCCCAGGCCCCACCTTGTGCTTCAGGAGCACGATCAGCTGTGAGCGCAGGATCAGGCCCCGCAGGCCCATCATCTGCAACGAGAGAGGTGTTCATGGGTCACAGCACAACCTGTTTTCTCCCCCCCACAGGCAGGGATTGCTCCCGCCCGCTGGGCAAGGCAAAGAGGTCTGCAATGGGAAGCCCCGGGAAACAGAGGGGCCCGCTCCGGCCCAACCCTCAGCCGACGCCGGACTGCTGCTGCTCCTGCACCCTTCGAACTGGTTTATCACCAGGTTCTGCTTTTGATTAAAATATCTGCGAGGCCACTTAGGAGACGAATACCGGAACGCAGGACTGAAAGACTTCTACGCCCATCGGGATCCTGCCGGCAGCAGGCCTTGCCTGTCCCAGGGCCAGCAGCTCCCTGGCATTTCAGAGAGGAGGCGGCCCTGCTCTCAGCTGAGGCCCCTAATGCCAGCACCTTCCGCCTGCAAAACCACTGAGAAGCCCTCTGCAAAACCGGGGCGCCAGGCCAAGGCAGTCATTTGCCCCACCTGGTCATTGCCAGGGACACTCTCAACAACAGGAAACCCATTGTGGTTCGAAGCTGCATCACTGAGGATATCCACGATGGTTCCCACTTTCTCGCTCTGCCGCAGGCAGGTGACCGGGGTGCTCATCACTTGGCTGCCGGGAGGAAAGCCGCAGGTGAAAAAAGCCCGTTCTCGGCCGGACAGATGTCGCCCCGCCGAGGCCGGCAGGGAGCGCCAACCCTGTCTCGAGAAGAGGCCTTCATCCATGTGCAGAGACGGTGGGCCTCAGTGCCTCCCTCCGCCACACGGGTCTCCTCCAATCCCCTTTCTCTGCACCAGCCAGGCCTGGAGTGAGCCAAGCGGGGCGCTGACTGGTCAGCTTACGTGGCAGTGAACGAGTGCGAGGTGACCGGGGCCTCCCAGTGCAGGAAGGGGACGCTCTGGAGCTGAATGTGCATATCGTACAAGCCCTGGAATGGGGGGGAAACGGGAGAGAAGTGGGTCAGCCCAGGCAGGTCTGAAGACAGGAGACAGTTGCGATACAGAGGCTGAGGGTGGGGGGACAGAGCCACGCTTCGCCAGCAGAAGTTAGCCACCTGGTCTGCTTTGCAAAAATGATCCAGGCTTTCAGAGTGAATTGTTTTTGCGGAAGAAGCGCTGTGTGACGTGCGATGACGGTCCTGCCAGACAGAATCTGGAAAGTACACGCTCCAGTCGGGATGGGGGACTGAGTCACAGAAGGGTCCCGTCTTGTCTGAGTCATACCAAACTGGGGCTCGAGGATGGCGCTCTCCCAGCCACGGGCGTTTCAGGACAGAATGTTTCTGGGCAGGAGGATCCATCTGCAGCGCTTGCCTCTTACCTCCACAAAGAAGTCCCCCACTATCTTGGCCGTCATCAGGACAAGCATGATTGGGAACCCATAGGTGACGTTGCCCGTTGCTTCCATCATAATGACTGTCAGGCTCAGCGTCATCCTCACGATCCCCCCTGCAAAACAGCCTGGCTGGTATTTCTCCCTCCCCCATGACAGGCCTCTGCTTCCCTGTCAGTTACAACTGGCATTTGGGCCAACGCAGCCAGGAGCCCAAACAGCCAGGAAGTTGCCTTACGCAGAGTCATTTCCATCCAACGCCCCCTCGATGCCCTGAATCCATCCCATCGATCCCAGCCAAAGCGGCCAAAGGGCCCGGGCTGGGGATTATAGGAGTTGCAGTCCAAGCCATCTGGAGAGCACCGCAGATCCAGCCGGCCCCGCAGCAGCTTTCTGGTGCCTCTGCACCTCGGGTGTCCCGCGCACGCCCCCAGCCCTGAGCTCTGCTCCTCCGCAGCAGGAAAGCCCAGAAGGCCCTTTTGACCCCTGAGCCAAGGTCCCCACACACCGGAAGTCAACTCTGCTCAGGCACAGCCAGCACCTTCCTCCTCCCACGGAGGCACCCTCGCCTTGGATCCTGCACACTCACCCAGCTGCGCTGCTGCTCCCATCAGCGCGTACTTCCCCGGGTCAGCCCTGATCTGGAAGGGAGAGAAGAGGTGGTCAGTACGGCAGCTGGGGGCTCCCTCCGAAAGCACAGGGGAGAAACCGACCCGGGATCAGCGCAAGGCGACCCAGACCAAGGTCTTGGGCCCCAGTTCGGGCCTTGGCCCCTGCAAGGGAACTCCTCCTTTCTGGGGCCCCCAAGAGATCCAAGCTCTCAGGCTTCTCCAGGCGTCTGTGGGGAAGAGGAGCCACGAGCCTTACCCAACCGCTGGCAACGTAGGGCAAGGAAATGCCAAACAGGCGGCCCCAGGCAGCGCCGATCAGGAGGGAGGGGATGAAGACGCCCGCAGACACCGTCAGCCCGTAGGTCCAGCAAGCCAGGAAGAAATACACCAGGGTAAACAAGCCCAAGGTCATGGGGTCATAGGTGCCTGGGTGGGGACAGAAGGCGCTCATTCCTCTCACCCCAGAGGAAGCTCCCCTCGGTTCCTCAGAAGATGGGCCGCCCCCTCCCTTTTCAGTTTCCTGCTCCCTCCATCACCCACCTACCCATCTGAGAACAAACACCGCGCCCCCGCCCCGCAATACACCCACAGGGCCCCTTTGGGCTGGGAAACAGTCCTGGTGCCTCCTTAATTAAAACAGCATCTGCGTTACAGCAGCCCTGCCAGCAAACGCGCCTGACCAGACCTGGGTGTTCTGAAAACACAGATGGCGTCCTCAGTTTGCCCCACGTGCTAGAGAAACATCCGGGAAAGGGCT